GGGTAAGGGGGAATTAGAAGTTAATTTTTTCAACTCAAGCGACCTTTCTCGCACGACTTTGACTGTTCAAGGCCAGATGGTTAATTCTTGATATTCACACAATTAGTTGTGTATTGGGTGCCGATATCAGGTTTGCTTGCTTGGAATGGATGACCCTCCTTTTTTCCTTTTTCTTTCCCCCTTTCTCCCTTCAAGCTTCGGGGCCGTGGTACGATAGAACGATGAGCCGAAAATCGGAAAAGCGAATCAAAATCTTGCCAAAAAAATAGGGTCATCAATTAAAAAAGTCTGGTGGTGGTACTGAGCGAACCCGATGAATCGGACTGTACTCGAGCAATCCAGAATGGATCTCCTGCGAGCTGCGAGTGCTGCGTTGTGCTGTGCCTGCTGCTCTCGTATCTCCGGGCTGTCTTCATTGATCGTTCACAATTGCTGGCATCCAAAGAAAAGGAGGCTCCTCCCTCCTCTGTTCCACCCCCCCGTTCTGGAATGGTTTCCTCCATTCCAAGTCCATCCGGTGCCTCCCTGGCCTTGAATGCCCTGACTCCTGGCTAACTTTTGGAAGCTGTTCCCCATCTCGTCGGAAACCGTTGGGCCCTTTGCCATAATAAAGCTCGATCTTGATGGTTCCGAACCCCACGAACAATTGCCAGATTGGCAGGCAAGACTATCGATGCCGAGGTGCCAAGCCACTAGCGCGGATCGATAAATACCAAGACATCTGAGAAACTGAGGCGAGTGCCAGCCCCGAAAATGGAAGGCTAAACTCACTGTACCGGATTATTGACTGACTAACCCAAACAGCCCATCGGCTGGGTCATCGTGAATCTTTGCATACCGGTAAACCAAAAACACCCCACCAAAGGGCATTCCAACACCCCACCTTTGTCCCTCCCAAAGACACGAAAAAAAGCTCCCCCCCCCATAATAATAACAACGCAGCCCAGCAAACACACTTTTTTATCATAATCGTCAGTCACTTATTTTTGGGCTTCCTGAATGCTGTATGAATAAAGCTCCGTTTCTGGCCGTTCCACAGTCCATCACACCCTCTCTGCTAAAAAATAAAAAATTTGGCACAAAGATGCGATATCGATCGGGTCTGACTCCTTGGACCCTGAGTTGCGCAAGCATCTCGATATGGATTAGGAACACCCCAGACTACGGATTGGGCTGACTTAAATATTCAAGCTCGCTCGAATAGGGTATAAATTGGGCTTACCTAAAAACACTCTAGAACCTCGAGAATCCCAATGCATCGCACAGGGTTTAGAAAAAAAGAAAGAAAGCATTGGTATCGGAGTGGAGCAGAATGGAAAAGGAAAATCAAAAGAAGCAAAAAAGCGTGTGAACATCACGAGTTCAAAACCAAAAATCGTGAAAATGAGAAAAATAGTAGCAACAAAAAAATATCATGTGGGAGACACAGACTGAACCGACCCTCGAACCAGTTTCAGTGTGGTATTGCCTGCAGGCTGTACATATAAATTGGGGTTCTACGCTCTTTAGACCCCGGGGTATGGCGACCTTTCGTGTACCTGTGAGTGTCTTTATGGGGAGGTGCTAAACCACCGCCCCACGAGAATACGGTACTGGACCCACATCGATATCTTACAGCAAACAGATATTATCCAACTAATGATTAAAAGGATATGAAGGCATGAGCTCTCCAAGAGGTTAGGGAATGGATGAGAGGGTGGAGGGGGGGGGGGGGAAGGCGAGGTGAACTAGGTTCATGTGTTCTCTCGCCAATTTGAGGAATCTCTCATTCTTTCCTTCATGGTTGTCCACGTAAAACATCTCTCCTGTCCTGCTCACCTCGGCTCTACTCGCGAGGATTGATGGATTCGGGAGACCTTAGTCCTACCTGTTGAGAGAAAGAAACTTGGATCCCCACGTGCAAAAGGAGATCGAGATGAAGGGACTTAGAGAGGCAAGGAAAGGCAAAAAAAAAACAAGACACAAAGGTGAAAGGCGCGACAGACCAAGGGACAGGCAGGCAGCATCAGCGGCACCAAGCAGGATACCCTCCTCTCCGTTTGTTCCTTTCACTCTCGCTCTAGTTCTCTCTGCCTTAGGATTCCACTTGCGACGCCCTGCCTATTCTCGACATAACGACAGAGGGAGCCGGCGTAAACCGATTCGTTCGGGATTCTTGATCGTTATGGCCAAACAGACATGAATTCCGAAGGAGGCATCAAAATCCACCACATCGAGATTAAGACTCCTTCAGCTTGAGATGCCCACCTCAAGAAAAGGAGGACAACGAGCCGCAGCTCCAATCCCATTTACTCGTAGTTCGAACACTCTGCATCTCTTGTTGCCACAAGTGCCGTAGAGTATTGACATAACCTTCGGGGGGACCCTGAATAAATTATTTTTGAACCCTTTCACCCCTCCCCCCTACTATGTGTGCAACAGAGGCAAGAGGGAGTTTTCAGGATTTTTTGAAGCAAGAGATTGACTTGGAAAACCTCGATTTCTCCACAAGTCTTTCGAAGTTTGAATGAATGGCCCCTAAAATTTTTAATTCCTTAAAAAAAAATTTCTTTCCCCCTTCCTAAGCATACTCGCTGGGTTTTCCAGCTTGGGCGGTTATCAAACAGTACAGTACTCGTACCAGTATGAGTTTTCGCGGATCAAGGCATTCCTTTAAGAGAGAGAAGAGAGGGTGGGGTGGTCAGCATGAGTGGGCTCTGCGAAAAAGAAAGGCGATTCTCACTAATTCCGCGATCCCCGTTCCCATGGCGCGCTGGAAGCAACACCAAGAGAAAGCTCCGACGTGTGGGAGACCGTGTCAATGGTCTTGAAATAGGAGAGATCGACACTGTCATCGAGATGAAGTTTTCCCTCTCTCTCTCTTTCCCCCCGTAGCTAGGGAATCAATCCCTTTGTTGTTAAGGGAGTCGCGTGGTGTGAGTTTTTCCATCACGACTTTTGACTTGGAGGAGTTTTGTGAGCAGCCGCAGTTTTTACCGTAAAAGAGGGGGTGATGGTGCAAGCAAGTTGTGGCCGTTGCCACGGTCAAACAAGAAAATGCGATAAGCTTTTTCATTAATTTAGTCAGCACTTCACAGAGTAAAATTCAAAAATTCAAAAAAAATTACGGTCACGCCTGCCGTTCTCATCATGTCTCGTACCAAAAGAGTAATTTGCGAATTGCAACCCTGTGCGGTGCCGGTATCATACTCTTGAACGCTAATTTGCGGTCATCGCATGGAGGATACTTGAAATGAAGATATCAATGTCGGGAACCTGGGACACGCATACTGGTACTATCGTACCGGTACTCGAGTATATCAAAACCGCAGATAAGAGTTCGGATCCCACAACACAGCACGAAAATATTATGATAATAAGGGTCTATTTTTACGCCACGCATGTACCTGTACCGCACTCACTGCTTTGCTTTTGTATTCTAAATTATGATAACTGTCAAGCAATCACGGGAGAAGTACAACGAGGATTTCACGGATTACTGTGGCACTCGAGCACAAAGAAAGGCTGATCCTTTCCTAGATGGCTACGGCAGCTAGACGAAGCGTGCGGTGCTACCCCAGCACCCCCAGAGCATAGTACCGGTTCTGGTACGAGTATGGCGAGAGTACCAGTACTGAATTGTATGATCTGGCGCTGATCTTTGGTGGAAGATGTGTATGGTATCATACTAGTTGTACTTGTACGAGTACTCGAGTACCGGTATTGTAAGTAGATGACCCTAAGTCAGAACAGCCCTTTTTTTTTTTTTTTTGCAAAAATAGGTACCGGTATGCAACACCAGGAAAGTCATACCACTGATACCACTGATGATAGAAGTTAACGGTGGGGGGTCGGAGGGATGAATTATTGATAACTGTCTGAACGAGACGACTCATTTAGAGCAATTTGATAGGGAATTGACTGTTTAGGCTTTGGGCGTCTCTTGTTCCCTAGTCTTTTGCCATGGTGCTTACCTCTAACTTATTTTCACATATCGATTGAGCTGTGGTAGACCGCTCAAGACCAACGGCCCCGCATCCCCCGGGCGAGAATAGGAGGAGTAGGCGGAGGCCATCCCACGCCGACGTATGAATTGATATGATATGGCACTCTACTCCAGACTCGTGTCCCTCTTGGTCCGCCAGCGCAACCATACCGGTTCACCTCCATCCCCTCTGGAGGAGATATTGGAGAAACTTAAACCTTTTAGGGGGGCTGCCCTCCCCTCAGCTAGTGGCTCTCCCCCTATCACATCAGATTACTCGAGTACAGTGCTATCGGTAGTTGTCATGAATTCGCCCTCCCACCACCACCACCATTGACTCCCCCCTCTCTCTTTGTATTGCGCACCCACCACAATCGCTGTCACAGCAGCTGTCTTTTTTTCCTTCTTGCTTCCGGGAGGGGTGGATAGACTTTACTTCGTTTTTCCGTGGTCTTTCCTCTTGCGTCGTCGAATTCCACATTATCCTTTTGCCGATTTTTTTTTTCGGGTTCCAACTTCTGACCCCCTCCAACCCTTTATTCTTCACCCTCCCCCAGTAAACTGTATATCGTTCATCGTCCTTGCTGTCCTCTCAAAACAATGTCTTTCTGAAGGTCAGCCCTATCGATTGGTCTTTTGATTTCGTCCAGGACCGCGTTTCGTGTTTTTTAACCGGATACCTTGCATGAAAGGATCAATTGGCGTGCTGCTTGCTTTTTAAGTGGTCTATTTTTGTCCCTTCATTTGCGTCCGTTGAGGAGTGATCGATTGGAGGAAAAGGGTAACGATTTCACCCGTTCATCTGTCGGTTGATTGATTGAACTGATTGAGCATTCAATCTAGTCAAAGCAACCAGCCAGAGGAGAGGAACCACGAGCAGGTAACCTACTGGCACTGGAGAGTGGAACGGAGAAAAGAAAAAGAAAAGGGGAGAGACGAGGCACGGAAGAATAAGTCGATTGAACGAACAGTTGGACGAACGAGAGGATACGTAGAGGAAACGCTTTCTTTGATCTCTACCCTATCATACCAAGCGGTTGCGGGCTGGTCTGCAGGCTTTGATCCCGGGCTGCCTCGCAGAACACGAGTACAGAACGGAAGGACCCCTTCCCTCCTACTCTCCTACCCTCCTTCATCACCACCCCCCTTTTTTCCCCTGCGGGCTAGTTAGGCAGGGACTGTATCCGCTCAGGCAGCTCTTGCCATCGCCCGCCCATCACCGCCTCGCCACGCGACAGAACCCTATCCCCCACGGCGAGCAAGAAAAGGAAAAAAGCTTAGCTTCTCAGGAAGGCAACAGCAACCACCGCATCCCGCACTCACAACCCGCAACCAGCACCACATTCCTAGCAGCACGCACTGCTTAGGTAGAAGCAAGTCAGAGCAAAAGAAGAAAAAAAAATCACCCTCGCCGGTCATTCCAGGCCGAACCAACACCATTTGCAGCCTTCCGACCTTGCATCATCGTTTGTATGCTACCGGACGCGCCTACAGACCAACCACCGCCCCTACTGAACGCTATGAACTTCATCGTATGTGCATCATTCCCTTTTCTACTCTATGCGTGCGCTGCCACCAGTTCACCGCCCCACATAATTACTTCACCCAGTTGTTATTAACAAACTGTCTTACAACAGGTCTCCCTCGCCCACTTCTGCGAGATTCATGGCCCCACTTCCATCTTATGCACCCAGGCCATACCTCCCTCATGCGTTACTTGCTTTCCTCCTCCTACGTCTTCTCCAAATACCCCGCACCAGTCCTTCGTTCCTGGGTCTCAACCGGCGAGTAGTAATTCGCACCTATTGAATCCAAATTTCAGGCCCAGTGGCTCAAACGCCGGCCTCCGACCGAACACTTCTCACCATGCTGGAAGTGCCAACTCATCCTCGGCATCTTCATCTAATCTATCTTCGCCGATAGAGACACCGCCACCATCGCCTAGAAGTCCCGTGCTCACAAGTTCCTCTCTACCTGCAGCTGCAGGTGGAATTGGAATTGGGCCCGGATATCTGGGTGGACCAGCAAACCCGGGATCGACGACCCCGCCAACTACATCGGCGATGACTGACACTTGCCGAAGCTGTAGTATGACACTCCCGGGTCAGCTCAACGAAAGGCTATCAGCCCCAAGCCTGGCTTCATCGCCCTCAGGTGGGGCCAAATCCCCTACCACTACCAAGGGTAACAATCCGACTTTGCGAACGAAGGAAGTTATCATCTCTTCTGCACCGTTTCTTTCCAGCGAGGATGAGGATGAAAGCTCTGAAGGACAACCGCCGTCCTACATTCGAAGGCGGAGGGCTACCATTGATCCGGAACATCTGCCGGGTTCGCCAAATGCACGATCGTATTTCAATTCCACCCCAGCCTCTGATGACGAGGCGACCGGTGGGAAATCCTTGCTGGGCTCTTCTACACATACCCACCACATCACTTACCTTTCGACAAGAGCTCCTTCCGTACCCTCCCGGTACTCCACTCTCCGGCAGTCATGCGTTCGGACTTTGTCTTGTGAATTGATCCCTGCCCAGACTGGACCCATAATGTTTGGTGATCCACTAGCAGGTTACACGATCGCCTACGTATTCAGACTTGCAGATTCCAAAGCTCGCGGTGAAAGACGATCATACGCGTTGGTCTGTATCTGCCCTGACCAGAAGATTGTCGTGAAATCGTGGAAATATGTTGTTGCGGCCTTTGAAGCATTAGTGCACCGCATAAAACTGTTGGCAGCGAAAAAGGCCGCAGAAGATGCGCAAGTCTCGCCGGCCCTGAGCAACTCAATCTCGTCCATCACCTCTCGGGGGCCAGATGGGTTTCTACGGAGACGAATTCCCGGAGAAGGCGGTAGTCAGAAGGGGTTAGCAGAGTTGGTTGGACGAGAGGAGTTGTTTGTTGAGGTCCACATGTGCTTCGTCAAGTTGCTTGGAGGGTTGGTACGGCGGTATGGATGCTGGGCTGGGAGCGAGTTGGGCCTAAGTATCGGCACCAGTGGTAACTTTGTGACTCCCGTTATGGGCAGAAGCAGGGCGGGGAGCGTCAGCAGTTCAGTTGGCGATGAGAAACCTGAGAAAAAAACTGTCACCAGCCAGACCGTTGTTGAAGGTATCGAAATGACCGGAGGCGAACGAGCAGCCAATGGAGCTAAAGTAACATTTCCGCCTACAACTGCAGGGCTCAGTGTCCACGACACTGTCACGCCACGAGCCGCTCCTTCGACACCACGAACACCTGCCGCAAAACGGGAGGAACCGACCCACCAGAGAAGTCGAAGCGCGATTTTGATTCATTAAGTTGATATTGAAATCCGTGGTCATGTGGTCTGTCCGGGGCACTTGGCGGGTAATGGGAAAAGAACTGGAACCATACTGAACTCAACCTTGCATCAACGAATTTCGTTATTACGTTTTCTGTGCTAGTTTCTATCCTTTTTTATTCTTTTTTCTCATTCTCCCTCCCTGGCTTGTTTTTCATCCTTTCCTACGACGAGCTCTCTTGTCTGCATATGTAATTTTATTAGCATTTTTTTCTCATTACCTTTCTCGAGCTTTGCAAGTCAACTACTCGAGTATTTGGTTTTTTTCCTTTCTGAGGCGGGTACTGTTTCAAGGCATTACTACATTTTCAAAATTATACTTTTTTTTCTTCTTTTCTTTCTCTTAGTCATTTCCATAGAGGGTCAAAACTGGGGCGCTTTCTTTTTTTTTTTTTTTTCATGGAATATATTATTCTCACCGGCATAACTTTTTTCTTTTTCTTTTATTTTCCTTTCCTTTTTTGACCCCACCGGTACTGCCGGTACGAGTACGGTACTGTAAAGAGCAAAGTTAGGCATGTCGGGTGAGTATGAGTAGTTGTGAAATTTGAAATGTGAAACTCTTGTCCAAGGTACTATACTCGATTAGGACGAAGGGAGCGAGAATTTGTAGGCTACGATATGATACTGGTATCTCGTAGGGCAAAAGCAGTGAAAATGAAAATGAAAATGAAAATGAAAATGCAAAAGGCGAAAGGCGAAAGGCGAAAGCAGGGGCCACGTTAACCCTTCCAAGTGGCCACGGAAGTCTACTACCGATCAGATTATTTCCCTCCACTGGGCGAGTTTTCGTATGAGTAACGTAACAAGCAAAAAAAAAAAAAAAAAAAAAAAAAGGTTCTCCCAACAAATCAATGTTCCATCCATCCATAGCACACCCACGGCACACACACACAAGAAAAGCACATGCATACATGCATCGTCCATGCCGAATACTCGAGCAAGTGTCCTTACTCGAGTACGGTACCGTAGCGGTATGATAGCGGTAGGTGAATAAAACAAAACCAAAACAAAACCAAAAATAAAACCAAAAATAAAAATAAAAAAACCCAACCTCCTCCTCCTCCCTCCCCCGCATAACGAAAATAAAAAAAATAATAAATTTAATAATAATAAATTAAAAATTTAATAACAAGCACCTCCAAACCATCCCATCCAGTACCGGTACCAACCATAAAAAATAAATATAAAAAAAAACGTAAGAACGTGGGGTGGGGGGAGAATACTTACCTACTCGCTCGGATAGGATAAACCTACCTACCTACCTTACCCGACAACGACGCGCATGTGGGGTGAATAACAATGAACTGCACTCCAGCGCCAGTTCTAGACCGCACGCCGCGAGTGCTCACCCGTGATGCCTATCGCTGATAAGCAAGCTGGGCGAATCAGGTAAATTTATCATAGGTGGTGTGGTGTGGTGGTATGGTTTTATTTTTTTAGGTCGGGTGGGTAAGGGTACTCGAGTACCGGTACTCTAACTTTAAGGGTATTGTAGGGAAGGACGGGAATAAGTGAGAGATTTTCGCAAAATTGCGGGGGTGCACTACAGTACGAGTACCGGTATATCATACCGGTGGATGGATGGATGGATGGATTCGCTTAGATCCCGGCGTGGGGGTGAATTCTTCTTTTTTTGGTTTTGCCTTGCCTTGGGTGGTGGTGTGCTTGTGGAGTCAGCTACTGTACTGTATGATACTTGTAAGGTTACATTTAGGGTTTTTTGTTAAAAAAAGCCTCGTTGGAATTTTTGGAGATGGGGGTGGGACCGGGTGGGTGGATGGGTGGGTGGTACCAAGTGGTCTCTGGGTAATCACAAGTTGTACTCCTTCCTACTCGAGTGCTGGTATCGAAGGGGTTTTCGCTTCTTTGTGGGAGAGTGGATCGAGTGAGAATTTGTGCCCTTCTGGGGAGAGAGGGTTAGGGGGGAAAAGTCGGTTGCGGGTGTGGCTTTTTGGTGGTGCGAGTGCGGTTAGGTATTATCATAGCTAGCTATCATAACTTGACTAATAGCTTATCATACCACACACCTTTTGTTTGCACGAGTACGAGTGGATGTGCTCGTAGATTGGTTAGTTGAATATTATTATATTTAGTAGATATGATACCCGTAGCTCGGGGCCACGGTATGATGGCTTTGGCAAGGCACAGCACGACATGATACAAGCAAGCCCAGCCCTCCCTATCAGAGACAACCAGCAATCCCCGGTTCTCAGCGGTGATCAGTACGCTAGCCTACCATCGACTGATAAGCAAGAGGTCAAAGCGTGCGAATCATTTAAGCCTTGCTTTCATTTTTCTTCTTCTCACTTCTCATTTTTCGCCTCAGTGGGGGAAAAACAAAAGCCAAAGTGGAAAAAAAAAAAAAAAAAAAAAAACAGTTTCACCGGGTTTTCGTTCTTGCTTGTGCCCTGTCCATACATTACTCGAGTACGAGTAGGTAGATCCATCCATTAGATCCATAGGTTTTCCAGCATAAATGCATCACAGGGAACTTACCACTATCGTGCTACCCGTCCTAGGCAAGAAGTATCATGCCTCAGCCCAGGAACCAGAAAGAGATTGTATGACCCAATCACCCGCGCATATCTGTTTGCACGAACGAGATTGTACTATACTCGTTATACTCGTACCCTCAACGCTGGGGTCGTGAGCTTGTTGTACGGGCGCTCGGGTAAGCCCGGGTTTTTTGCCGTATAATTTGATAATCCATATCCTCGGGTACTTCTTGCCTCCCACGAACTTGTGCCAAACCAGTGCGGAGGACAGGAAGAAGAAAAGGGAGGAAAACCCCTTAATTTGTGGACCCCCATGCCGCACAAGTCATATTTCAAATCTGTGGTGCAGGATTGTTGCGCTGGTACAGTAGTCTGCAAGGAGGTAGGTAATCAGGCCTCCAAACAGAGAAAGGAAGGGTATACCGGTATTATAATGACAGCTCATCTCTCATAATTATCAAACCGCAAGTCCAATGCACGTTTGCCTGCCGGTGGTGGGCTCTGTTGCCGATAGGTAGGTTTTTGCCAGCTGTACTAAGCAGGTAGGTGGCTTCTTCCTGGACCGGGAAGAGTGGCCAGTAACCTGGAGCGCCCGTGTGTGGTAGGGTAGAGTGACATGTACTCGTCGGGCACTTAACCCACCACAGTGTTGTAAGTTGTGATGTATCCTATATGATACCATGCCTCCCCCCTTCTCCTCCATCCCATCCAGGCACCACAACACGCAATCCCCATCTCCCAATCCGGCTCAAGCCAATGCAATACCCTTCCCTTCCTCCCCCAAATCAGGTAAACCCCCCCCTAAAAGTGGCAACCCAATGCAGGGAACCGCATCGGCAATCGATCGTGCATACTCATACAGACGGTACATACAGCCAATACCGTATATAGAACATTCTAGATCGGGATCTCGTTGGTCGATTCAATCGGTGCCATCCATCCATCCATCCACCCATCGCCCAGCAATCGCTGGTTACGTATTAGTAAGGATATCGTAGCACGTTTGTCGCGGCGCTATCTTGAATTGGCCTACAGTGCCATTGAACGCTGAGAGGGGGAGGAGGAGGAGCGGAGGGAGGAGGAGAGAATTGGTTTTGGGAGTCACGAGTTTGGAGTCGGTGATCTGCGGCGGAAGATTCGATCGGAAGGTTTTCGGGGCGCAGGTGGAGTGGGAGATAGGCCGAAGTAGGTAGAGATAGGGCAATTGGCCGTGTACCGGAGGTGTGGGGGGATTGCTGGCAGTCGGAGGAGGAGTAGGAGGAGGAGAAAAGGGAGGGGAGTGGGAGTGGGAGCGGGGCTTCGGCTTCATGCTTCTGCTTGTCTGCATGTCGGTCGTGTCTGTCTTGTCCTGTGTCTCCTTGTGTTACCATAGTGCGAAGCTTCACCACTACAGAACAACCAATATGCAAGGAATAAAACTTGCGATCTCAACCTGTACGGTTTGACACCGAGAATGTAAGAGATAGAGGTATTCCGTTTTAGCCTTTGGTACTCGTAGAAGAAAGAAAAAAGAAAAAGAAAAAACAGCGGGTTTTGAATATCCTAATATTGACCACCAAAAGCAAGTGATTTGGCCACAGTCGTGGTCGTGCTCGGTTATGTTATCCAGCTCATTCCGAGTATGGGTATACAGTTCACGAAACCCATTTGATGTAGGAATTCTAGGCGGTTTGAGATGAGTAACTTGTTTTTGTCACGGACTATTTTACTCTTGTTCTGTACGTAACAGGGTTCTCCCGCATTGGGGGGGAGGAGTTTCTGGATCATGATTTGTCACTCGTGGCATTACCTGAGCGCAGAGGGGTTGCAGGTGCCAAAGGGGCATGCGGTGTGCGGGAATAGCTGACAGCCCATCGAAATGGTCAAGGGGGGGGGGGGGGACAAGGAAAAAAGTATGGTATAGCAGCTGCAACAACTGCGGACTTTGAGGGAGTAGTATGTAAGCTCCCTCTCCCTCGGTTACCTGTGGTGTCCCGAATATGACATCCACTCTTCGTAGAAGATTCTCGTTCGCCCTCTGGCGGGGAAGATCAACGCCAGTCTACATCATTCCCATCCCATTTCCTCGGCTCGGAGTCGATCATGCTGGACAGGGCTACTTTGAGATGCCATGCGACGGCAATGTGAGTTTGCGGTGTTATGTAATATCATAGCTGTACGTATGTACATTTCCTGCATGTGGAAGAGACGTGTTTTTTCCCAAAGGAAGGAGGAGGAATCACAGGTGCTCAACTGCCTGCGGGGGGGAATCACGCGGGCCGTTCTTGCGGTATTAGTTTTAGGAGAGCACAATCTGTCTGGGAATTCGGGGCTCCCTCGGTCACATTCCCTGTAGTCCGCTGGGCGTCGAGAGGCATTATTATCATTCACCGTCCTCGCGCATACAGTGGGATGTGTAGTTGGAATGGAAGAATGCTTATTCACCTCCCAGGGTCGTCAGTGGGAGTCGGAGGGGTTTAACCGATACGTACGCTGACTG